CAAGTCGAATATACTATTGAATATGAAGAAATAGCTATTAATCAGGTAGATGTTGTAAATAATAATAACTATGAGTTCTTTGGAAGTGGTGAAATAGTATATATTTGAAAGTTTTTAGGAATTATTTTTACTGCGGCCTAGTACGTGACAAATAATATAGATCAATTTTAAAATGTTATTTATACGTCAAATGATACATAATGCATATGATTTTAAAATTTTTCAAAAATTATAATATATCACTATTTTTTACTATATACGTATAATAAATATAATAATTTGCTTTCATTTTTATTAACCTAATATGATACGTACGTACAAGATTTAATAAAATTAATAACTATCATCTTTTAAATCAAGTCGTTAACCAATTTTGATAGTTTAATAATCGTATCTGCATCAATAATAACATATGTTTTCAGCGATTCTACTAGAAAAGAGTTTAAAACTATCAAATTTATGATTGTATGCAATCACAACTATTACTGTCCATAAATTTGATAGTGTATTAACTAATGATCAACAATTGTTGAATAATCTATATAAACAACATTAAAGATGCAATTCGCTATCCATTTTGCTACAATTTAATCTGACAAATAGTCAGATCGCATTTCTTTAAACATCTGTCGAACATACCTTTTTTTTGTTATCTATTAATACTTTTTGCTTAACAAGATGCCACCTAAGTGAAATCTTTCATATAAAAAAGAAAAACTTAATAGGCAACGCATCAAAAAATGCTTCATTTAACGATCCATTACAAGATATGAGATACGGAAAAGGTGATCTATCAGCCAATATCCATCACAAAACATGAAGATACAGAAAAGGTGATCCATCATTAAATATTCGCCGCAATAAATGAAGATACGGAAAAGGTGGCCTATTATCAAATATCTGAATTAGCAAAAGTTAAAGCACTATTTGAAAGAGACCGATTTATTAAAAAAGAATAAAGAATTGCCTATGTGCTACTCGGGTAAAAATTATTTTGTAATTGCAATTGCAATAACGAAAAGTTTCAAAATTTATTAAATAAAAATTGCATAATAATTACAAAACTCTGGTATTATAACAAAACTGTACTATAGCTATATCAATGACTTATGATTTAACCACTCATTATACTATGCCATAATGACTATATACTTATAACAATTCGTCTTAAAACCAAGTAAGATTTATAAAAAAAAGTTTAGTTAGAAAAATTAAAAATTTAAAAAAAAAAATAAATAAAAATTAAT